TTATTTAGGGAAACTACCAAATAATATCGAAGGAGCTCTCCGCATTTGCAGCCCAGCCACATGCTGTCTTGGGCTTTTGATCCATCCAAACGTTGGAGCCAGCGCTTTGAGGCTCCCTGGCACCAAACTTCTACAGCGACTACCATGATGAATGCCGTGAAGGCCCTTGGTGCCCGACTTGCAAGCCAATAGGAATACGAATGTGCAGCCAGCTCACACTGCATGCTTGCTACTGGCATGAAAGCTGGCGCCAGACGCTCGTATCAGATCTTTCAAGCATTGCAAAGCTCCACCTTCTCCTTCATCAGTCGGTAGTATCCAGCAAGATGTGCCATCTTGGAACGCTGCACCATGAAGCTGGTATCCCGCATGCCCACTCGATCCAAGACCTCATCTGACCGAGCACAAGTGACACAGATCGACAGGCACTTCAGGTGCATGCATAACTGACGCGGACGGGACGGGTGCCCAACTGCTCTTTGCCTTGAGCTTCTGTCTGGATTTCTTGGTACCCAATTATGATATAGTAGTTCCGTTTTGTCCATTATCCCCATATAACCCCTATATGTACCCTAGCTTCATATATTGATACAATTTCAGCTTTGCACCCGTCTTGAGCTTTCAGGGTGGCCGTATTCACTGCATAAATGCTACAAGGACTACTGCACTGACTGTTTAGGGTTTAGGGTTTAGGTAGTACTGAATGCTTGGAGCCGTTGAAATCACTTGGATGAAGCCATCTAAACCCTAAACCTTAAACCCCCCCAGAATAATTAGGGGGTCTCAAAGATAGACTCCAATCAACCAAAGGAACTACTCAACAAGAGCCCAAAAAAAGGGCCCTAATTTATGCTGAAACTAAACCTCATATAAGCCTTGATCATATCCCTATATACCCCCTATACTCCCTACAACCCTCTGAAGGAATCCTATCTAGCCATCTCATTCCAAGCGTCACGGGTTTGGATGATCTTCTGCAGCGGCTGCCCTGTGACAATCTCCATGACCTGCTCAAATACTCACTACCTGTGAACCCTATTACCTGATGCTTGAGAGTAATTACCCCCTACCGTAAGTAGTAAGCTTGGGGTTAGAGGTAATGCCTGCTTTTGTCCATGCCGGTGTCATGTAAGCTTTGCTAATCTCAGAATGAAGCTATCCATAGCTCACACCATTAGATAATCTAAAAGCTAGATGTAGTGGAAACTGGACAGTTACCAGGGCTTGGGGTTTCGAAACACCAAAAGCACAAAAATGTAGCGCACGTTGGAACGAACTAGTCAAGCCATCTTTAGTCATCTTCCACGGTCAGATGGGTCAACGGTTCCCTAAGGTTCCCTGAGCCTCCCAGACCCCCTGAAGGATCCAGAAAAATGGAGCCCACAAAAAGGATCCCCATTCCTGCATTGGGGAAACTAGAGGATTATTGGCAGATTCCTTTTTTTGGATTCTTCAGGTTCCCTGAGCCTAGCACGACTTTAGTGGCTTGTTCTCAAGACCTTGGCGCAGTTTATAGAATCCCATTATAGTAATCTTCTTTTCCATCATCCCTATATAACCCCAATATAACCCCTAATAATTATGAACACTAAATTTGAAAGCCAGCTTTCTGAAGTTGACTCCTGACTTTGCAGCTGACTCCCTATGAACCCTCAAGGAGAGGCAGCTCCGGAAGAACAGCGAAAAACAAATACAACCAAAAGGGCTCATACTGTTGATACTAAAAATCCTGCATGACCCTAATATGCTATAAAACTATACTTCCCAAGGTATAAGGTACTTAGGGTCATGCAGGATTTTTGGTATCCACCGTATGTCAATGTTTCTTCTGCATATTCTAAATATACATATATTTATGTATATATGGATCTTCGGAAGTTAAGTTGCCACTTTAGCAGAATCCGAAAAGTTCCATTTACAAAGACAGACAGCCTTTTGACCTCGGGAGTGGTCCCTCTGTTAGGGTGTAGGGTGTCACTCTGTATGATGCTCTACAGCTATAGCAGGAGGGAAGTTACAATGTAGGGAGCTGACATAAGCCTTACCTACCCATTCTGTAAGTCCCCTTGGTCCCTATATGCCCCTTAATATACCCTTTTCATACACAAACTCCCCCCCTTGGAAACTCCACTCCTGTAGGTGTTCCTAGTACATGGGAGTTTCTGAAAATCAAAAACAGCCGATCCCCTTCGGGGGTCCTTCCGACAGGGAGTAGACCACAAGGGGGGTAAAGGGGACCTAATTTTCGGAAACTACCACCTTGTGGACCTTTCCGCACACACCTTGGGGACCTCTTACCTGTCAGGAAGCTGTCTCAAAACGGTAAACCCTAGACCCAAAACCCCAGACCCTAAACCCTAAACCCTAGACCCAAAACCCTAGACCCTAAACCCTAGACCCTACACCCTAGACCCAAAGCCCTAAGCGCGAAACCGGCCAAGCCACATGACCGAGGACATCCATGCTCATGCCATATGCATAGTTGCTGCCAGGCTGGTGCAGCAGAGGCATGCCTGGCGAGATTAGGGTTAAGGGCTTAAGGGTTTAGGTTTAGGGGTTTAGGGGTTTAAGGGTTTAGGGGTTTAGGGTTTAGGGGTTTAGGGTTCAGGGGTTTAGGGGTTTAGGGTTTAGGGGTTTAGGGGTTTAGGGTACCATGTTCCTGATGACAACGCTTTGCAACATGCCTGCAGCGTGCCCACTTGCTATCGCTCCATTCTGCTGCCCAGAGAACTCTGTGGCTTCGCATGCTCCACTTGCTCCCATACAAAGCTAGACGTGCCATGATGTGTAAAGTTAAGCCTCATGTCGCCCTGGCATCTGTAAATGCTGAGTTTCAACTTTATGGCAGCGATTCGAGTCACAACGGTTTAGGAGTTTAGACATATGAGCTTTTGTCTCAGCCCCTAGTATCCCCTTACTAGGCCCTATCAGGCTCCCCTATACAATCCCCTATGTAACCCCCCTTGACGGAGTTTAGATTATGGCTTATGCCATTTGGCAAAAAAGGCGAACGGCGCTCGACTTGCAGATTTGGAGATCTACGTTGAGTTTTTTTTTTGGGGTTTAGGGTTTAGGGTTTTAGGGTTTAGGGTTAAGGGTTTAGGGTTGGGATAAACCTCAAACACTCTGCTGTCCCCAATAATTACAAGCAGTGACATTGGAAAGCCCTGCAGGATTCACTTTCCAAAGCCAAATGAGTAGCGTTTTTTTGGTGGTTAAACCCAGTAAGATTATATTCCTTATATAAAATACTATACCCCAAAAGGAGGATAGAACCTTACTCTATAATGGGTACCATAGTATCCCCAAATAAAATAC